GGTTTATGATATCAACCGAGCGATGTGGGATAAGTTGCAAAAGCCAGTGCCTCTTTAGGATAAGATCTTGGCCTTCAGATAATGACTTGACTTTTGCAAGGGCTTTTTTATGGAAAAATAGAGATAAAAAGGAAAGATCAGTCTACCTTGGCTTTGAGGATGGTCAAGTCTGCAAGATGAACCAGCTTAAAGTGGCCTGATTCGTCAACGGAAACCACCTTGGATGAGAACCTGATGGTGCCACTGGGGAGTTCATTTGCAAGGCCTTCCAACAACAAATTCCTTTTCACGCGTCGAACTTCATGGTCTCCGCTGCACATCATGTACATTCTCAATCATTTGAGCATGCTTGAATATGGATACTAACAAAATCATTTAAATAGAAGCAAATTAATAGAATCTAGCAAACAATTGATTTCCAATATTAAGCATCAAGTAACATACTTTTAGCACATATGCTATTGATAAACTTACTGCTTTCCTTTGGCCTTAAATGACATCTCAAACGTTTGAAGCCCTGTAATTCTTGAGGAAGTCACATTCCTGTACATTCAAATCTCTGCAATCAGTTTCGTGCGTGCAAAAGTAGAAATTAGTAAGTACCAACAAACATGTTAGAATTAGGATTGTATTCGCGGTCGAAATTGGCAGTTTGAGAATATAACATGTTAGGATAGTTGAAGGGGCAAGAGAGAGTGATGCATGGAGAGAAAATTACCCATCAAGTGTGACATGTTGTTGGCGAAGAGAATCGGCAACACCAAGGGCATCTAAGGCCTTCCATGCATTTGTCCATGTTGTGAATGCAAAACCTGTTGTCCTCAAACTATCAGATGATTCCAACACCAAGCTTCTAATCCCCAGCCTGCACCCAGAAATTTCAATTTTGATTCCAACCATAGTAACAAATATATGAACCATGAACATTAACATGTGTGTATTAGAGAGAGAGAGAGAGAGAGAACCTGTGAAGTCCTAAGGATGTTGCAAGGCCAGAAATTCCAGCTCCCACAATCACAACTTCTGCTTCTGCTTCCATGTTGTACTTGATTATGCTC